CAATAATTGAAATGCTATTGATCTTGACATCTGATGTAAATCTATCATAAATAAATGAACAAAAGATAACTTAATCAGAACGTAAAGTAACGACATCAGAGATAACTTGGTCTTAGAATGGTAGGTTTAATAAAATTTCTCAAGATGCAACACAAATGTTTCAGAAATAAGTACAGCTATGTTCAACATCAGATATAGCATATGAGCACAAGAACAAAAGATAATTATAAATGACACACAAATTAAGTGTTATGTTTGTTTTAGGTGAACCTGGAGATGCTACTAAGGTTGAATCTCATACTCGAACTGATACAGATCGGACTATGGAGATCTAACAAAACATGTTACCACTCAAATTGAATGAAAATATGGAAAAAAATTGGTACAAGTACTCAACCAATGGATCTCCATGTCCCCATCCATTTCATGTTCATGCATTCTTTAACTCATGTCCTGAAGATAACACATAAAACAACAAAAGTGGATACTCACGGAATGTAAACAAGTAGCTCTGGATCACCCTCATTGCTCTCCAAGTGTTCCTGTTGCAGGAAGTAGGATCAGATGAGGCTTCATATGCCTAGTAATTGAAACATAAATTAAAACCAAAATATATAAATGGTAAACCTGAACTGAATCTCAACCAATGATTCAGCAATTTCTTGGCAGAAGATGAGAGTTTTTCCTCTTCTACAATAGCTATATAATCTTGCATCTCTCTTGGAGTTTTTGATTTACTCTTTTTGCCCATCTTATGGATCCAAAAGCTGCATTTCACCCAGATTACATTACTGAGAATTGACAAAAATGTATTCGCAGAGATACCAGACCCGCCAGGAAAAAAGAAATCTGAAAAAAAAAAAGGCCATTCAGGTTTTCGAAAAATCGGCCGCCTAGGCGGGCTAGGCGGTTTTTTTTTTGGGTAAATAAATAGTATAGCCGCGCGGCCGTACTATTTATTTTCTCTGGAGGTGATGCCGTTTTGGTGTTAGCATCAAATGGCATTCATTTTCTCTGGAAATGGCCGCAGGACCTTAATTCTAGTTAAGTGGTAAAGAATGAAAGTTTGTCATTGCCTTGATTTATATATTTTGCAAGTTACAAGGAAGCTTGAGGGTCACGCCAAAAGAGTCACTAGCCTTGCCTTCTCGAACACTCTGAATGTACTCTAATGTGACTTCTGTTATTTAACGATCAACGTCGTTTTGGCCCTGCAGATTTTTGTGTGGGGTGCTGCTGGGTGGGAGAAACACAGAAGCAAATTGTTGCAGATTCCAGATGGGAAGGAGTTGAGATCATTGTCAGATACCTACATCCAAATTCACCAGAATGAGCTGCACCTCCTTGCCATAAACAAGACTCACCTTGCAGTGTATAAAGTGAAAGAACTAGCATGTGTTTAGAGGGAGGGGAGGCTATCCCATCCCAAGGTCAGGGCATACCAAGGCCTCTTGGAGGAACTATTTGGCTTTTTAATTCTTCACTTTGGGATTAAAAACACAAGGCACCCAAAAAGGGATCAGGCCACTCAATGATTCACCAGGATTTTTATTTTTTTTTTTTCATATAAAGATGTAGTCACTGCCCCTTCACAAGTATATGATACTAACCTATACAAATTGTGTATCAATTTTTACTTTGCCTTGCATTGCAAATGCTCAAAAAGAGCCTGCATATTTTTACCATTGATTTCAAGAAAGATAAGGTTCTTTTTGAAAATTCTGCAAGCTAAGTATTCTTCAAGTGGTCACACTATCTCTAGGAGGTTTTCCCTTAGGAATGAACGTTCGGTAGTTGCGACATCACAAATGTAAAACAGAGATTAGAGGCCTCCACCTTTTTGGCTTTGACCAGCAATCATCTCCTAATTCACTTTTATATGTGTTGTTGCATAAGGAACCTGTTGTGTCAAACTTTTCACATGGGCACTCTACCATCCTCGCCAAAACAAAACTGAGCATGGCACATCATTGTGCTATGGTGTTTTTGTATGCCTTGCAAATTCTCCTTTGCATAGAGAAAATGAACCATCAATGTAACCAACCGAGGAGATAAAAGATCAAGAGTCTTGAAAATTCCAAGAAACGGATCTCCTTGTAGAAAGGTCCTACTGCTGAAGCTGCAAAATGCATACATCATGTGATTAACTTGCATATCAGATGTAAATATCAAATAATTTGGCATGCAAAGCAAGGCAAAAAGTAAATGAAATCAGCAAAAGACAAGGTCCATGGATGCATCTAACAAAACATTAGCTTATTTGTTTTGGTTGTCAAATGGCTGCAGCATTCCTAAGATATTACATACATTTGGCCCTTTACAGATCAGGTCAGTATTAAAATTCCATTACTGATTTCGGTTCATCATCATATCATATTAGTCCCACCAGTTTTAACTCAAAGTTTATTCTCAAGTCTCCATTAAGGTTGCACCAAATTTCAGCTTGTATATTTGTTTATCCAAAAGGATCCCAAAATCTGCTTCAAATATTTGTTTTGTAGACAAGTTCATATAATTCCAAATGTAAGTCACCAAACATACATGCCAGCTAAAAAACAGGAGAAAAAAGAGAGTAAATCTTACTGCTTGTAACTTAGATTTCTCCTCTCTTTCCTTTCAAAATTGAAATCGGAGAGCTAGTTGGTCATCTGATTCTGATGATATTGATTGAATGCAAGCAACTCCCAAGGTTCACCCTAATTTATGGAAACCAAGGAGTGGCTTAGAGCTGATGAATTACCTTCCCAGCACCAAGAAACACAAATTTCTCAAGATGCAACACAAATGTTTCAGAAATAAGTACAGCTATGTTTAACATCAGCATATGAGCACAAGAACAAAAGATAATTATAAATGACTCACAAATTAAGTGTTATGTTTGTTTTAGGTGAACCTGGAGATGCTACTAAGGCTGAATCCCATACTCAAACTCATACAGATCCGACTGTGGAGATCTAACAAAACATGTTACCACTCAAATTGAATGAAAATATGGAAAAATGGGTACAACACTAGTCAACCAGTGAATCTCCCTGTCCCCATCCATTTCATGTTTATGCATTCTTTAACTCATGTCCTGAAGATAACACATAAAACAACAAAAGTGGATACTCGCGGAATGTAAACAAACAAGTAGCTCAGGATCACCTTCATTGCTCTCCAAGTGTTCCTGTTGCAATCAGATGAGGCTTCATATGCCTAGTAAAACATAAATTAAAACCAAAATATATGCATGGTAAACCTGAACTGAATCTCAACCAATGATTCAGCAATTTCTTGGCCGAAAGATGAGAGTTTTCTCTCTTATACAGCAGCTGTATTATCTTGCTTCTCTCTGGGAGTTTTTGATTTACTCTTTTTGCCCATCTTATGGATCCAAAAGCTGCATTTCACCCAGATTACATTACTGAGAATTGACAAAGATGAAATTTAAAAAGAAAAAATTCAAAAGAAGAGATTACTTAACAATTGGAGCCCCAGAAAGCAGCATACTCCTTTTGGGTCAGTTAACGCGACCAACTCAGTTTGTAAACAATCAAAACAACTCGAGGAACATGAAACTGAATATTTAAGTAAGAGAATATTTGTTCATCATCAGCTTCCTAGCAACCAAACATAACATAAACCAAAACAGAAAATGGAAAATACTGATTTTCAATTGCAATTTCTCAGCTTCTCATTAACTTTGTCTCTGGAAATTCAGATATCAAGGCTGGTCTACACAAATGGAGGTGATGCCATTTTGGTGTTAGCATCAAATGGCATTCATTTTCTCTGGAAATGGCTACATGTACAGGACCTTAATTCTAGTGGAGTGGTAAAGAATGACAGGCTTTATAATTCTTTCCTATTAGATTTCTCCTCTCTTTCCTTTCGAATTGAAACCAAAGCGACAGTTTGTCATTTGATTCTGATGATGTTGATTGAATGCAGGCAACTCCCAAGGTTCACCCTAATATATGGAAACCAAGGAGTGGCTAGAGCTGATGAACAATGACCTTCCCAGCACCAACCCTAAAGAAGAGGCTATGTCCTGCTTTGATTTGTCTAAGAATGATTCATATCTCATATCACCAACAAGAGGGATGATCTCCATTTTTGAGTATTTGCAGAGATGACAGACCGGCCAGGAAAAAAGAAATCTGAAAAGAAAAAAAACGCCATTCAAGTTTTCGAAGAATCGGCCGCCTAGGCGGGTTCTTTTTTTATTTTATTTTAATAAATAGTATAGCCGTGCGGCAATACCTTTTAAATATATTATTTATTTAAAAGGTATAGCCGTGCGGCGGTACGCCTTAAATAATATATTTAAAGAGTAGGGCCGCGCGGCTGTACTCCTTTTAAAAAAATATATTTTTTCCTTGATTTTCATTTATCAATAAGAGTAGTTTAGAACATTATCCATTTCTATTATGCCATTACCCGAGTCTTTATTGTCCCCTTTTGATTATTTACTTAATACCCATATAAAGAATTTAGCATTTTCCCATTTAATACTTATATTATGCACGTAAGTATGTATTTTTCAATAATACTTTCATTTTTCGTACACGTCTTAAAGACTTAGTAAAATACATATTTTTTTAAAAAAACAAACATACAATACATGTATTGTACATGTACATATATATTATTCATGTTTAATACACGCGTTTTTTTACAAAATTTTCAATAATACACAAAAGTTTCACATATTATTGAATAAAAATAATATATATTGGCCGAACTTTTCAATTGGAACTTGCTAAAAAAAATTCGAATAAATCACGTACGTGTTTTTCCCGTTCCGTATTTTGCTAACTATGAAAGAATGTAAGAGGCTAAGATTATTTCTTGTTGTAACAAAAATGCAAGATGGTGAACTTTCGAAATCTCTTTGCCAACCAGAACAACAATTTCAAACAAAGATGTATGGGTATAGTGAGGTGGTAGTATTCTTTTTTTTTTTTTGGTGGTTAAATAGAACAAAAGATTATGCACAAACATCCACAACCCTCAAAGAAGGGACCAACACATTCCGGGAGCCCCCCGCCCATCTACTTGATCATAATTTTATTAATATAAAAGAAACATATAAAGAAAACAGGTACAGCAGAGGGACCAAACCAAAACCCTACAGAAAAGAAAGATAGTGACATAAAGGCACAGCAACATGCGGACCCAAGAAACCAAAACTCTGAAAGAGTAAACAAAAAGAGACTAAGTAAAACGGTAACTGGGCATGCCTAGTTGGTCCCGATGACGAAGACAAAATAAATGAAGGTGCAGTGTCCCACCATGTGAAACCAGAGCCCTGAACATCGTGATTTGCCAAAGCGTTAGCTCCATGATTACCCTCGCGAAATAAAGCTTGCACTCTTAAATATATTAGTGTTATCTTGACTCACACCATCAACATCTTCTTCGAGCAAATTCAAGTCAATCTTGACTGCCATGGACACCTTACAATATAGGCTTGAGATAAAATATACAGAAGCAAAAGAATAAAAAAATCACCAAAATTGAATTCAATATGAAAACATAAATATACTACATTTTAGATTAACAAAAGAAAAGCGAAAGAAATACCCATCAACCTAAGAAAATACTTCCAAAAGATATCAATTTTCAGCACAATAATACATCAGAAATGAAAAAACCATACCTTTGACCAAAACTTGGAGCGAGAGAAGCTAAGCAAGACGCTTTAGCTTTTGTGGGTGAGAGTTGAAAAGGCAGGAGCATTCTTCTGAAAGATAAAGCAAAGAGAAACGCTTTAGCTGACCAAGGGCAAGTAAAGAAATATAATTATTGGGTTTTTTGTAATTAATAGCATTGTTTTATGTGTAAGGAGAGTGACACATGTCAAGCAAAAAGAGGAGAAGGTTGCTAGCATTCCCCATAGATAAATAAGATACTCAACATTGTTTGAGGAGTGGTTATTAGTCATTATTCTTAGGGTATACTGGTGATTTGCCCCCTGAACTTGTACCTTAGTTTCAATTAGCCCCCTATCCTTTTTTTTTAGAAAATTAAGGATATAAACTATTTTTTTTCTCCAATTTCCCCCCTACCGTCTAAATCCTCAACATTTCATCCAATTTTCAGTTAAATCATTTAAAAAAATTATTTTTTTGAAAAAAAATCGAAAAAACAGAGAAAAATTGACACAAAAAACAAAAGAAAAAGAAAAATACACCAAACTGCTTTTGAATCTTGATATGCAGTTCTTAACATTGTTTCTTCCTGGTCTTTCTTTCTAAATAAAAAACCCATCTTTTGTTGTTGATAATTTCAGCCCAATAAGCAGATAGAAGATGCCAAGCTTGGAAGGGATTTCCAAACAACATTGCAAGAATTCCAGAAAGTTCAGCAGCTTGCCTCTGAGCGCAAGTCAACTTACATGGCTTCCTTGCCTAAAGAAAAAAAATCCTAAGAACACAACTCACCACAATTTCAATGGTCTCTCTCTCTCTCTCTCTCATAAACACTCTAAGAATTTGAAATAATGAAGAGTGTGTTCATTTGTCTTCCTAGAGTAAGGATCGGCTGCTCTAAATAATTTGGTGAACACCCCTCCCCCAGCTCTATCTCCTCCAACCCTATCAACCCTAAATCCCCCCCCTCCCTTCCTCCCATCCCCAACCAAGATCCAACCCCAGCGCCAGCCGAAACCCATCCCCAGCCCCAGCCAAAACCCATCCCCAGCCCTTGCCCCCAAGACCCAGACCCATCCCATTCCCCAGCCGCCCATCCCCACGCGAGCCTGCAAAAAAAGAGAGAGACCCACGCGAGCTTGTAAAGAGAGAGAGAGAGAGAAGAAAGAGAGAGAGAGAGAGAAATTCAATTTTCTGTTTTTTATTTTATTTTTCATTTATTTATTTATTTTTAATGTACAAAATGACCATTCTGCCCTCAATTTTAACGGCAAATTGGATGAAATGTTGTGGATTTAGACGGAGGGGGGGAATTGACGAAAAAAAATAGATCGGGTCCTTAATTTTCTAAAAAAAAAGAATAGGGGGCTAATTGAAACTAAGGTACAAGTTCAGGGGGTATTTCACCAGTATACCCTTATTCTTATATAATGAAAATAGCAACAATGATTGAGTTACGTATTAACACATCATCCCTTCCCAGCTTCACTATTTTTATAGTTTTTTATTTTATTTTATAGTTTTTTTTATTAATTTTATTTCTTATGTGGAGTCCACGTCAATTAAAAAATGAGTCCCACAAATGCCACATCAGCATTTAACAAATTAACTAACGGTTTGACTAACGAAGGGGATAAATTGTAGGGTTTTCGGGAGTTAGAGTATGTACTCGTAAATGTCTATAAAGTTGGATATGAACTTGAAAATGACCATATAATTTAGGGAGTTTTATGTAGTTTTTCCTTAATTATATAGGGTATACTAGTGATTTGCCCCCTGAACTTGTACCTAATTTTCGATTGACCCCCTATCCTTTTTTTTTTAGAAAATTAAGGATATGAACTTTTTTTTCCCGCCAATTTCCCCCCTACCGTCTAAATTCTCAACATCATCCAATTTTCAGTTAAATCATTTAAAAAAATTATTTTTTTGGAAAAAATTGAAAAAATACAGTAAACCTAATGTCAACCCCTTCCATCTCCTCCCTTCCTCCATGACCACCATCCTTTACTCCCAGACCAAAAGCCCACACCCACAGACCCCTCCCTCCTCCTCTCCCTTTATGTTCTTTCACCTACAAACTCATCACCACCATCCCCCAACAGACCTTCCTCCCTTTCCGTCCTCTCTCTCTCTCTCTCTCTCTCTCTCTCTCTGTGTAAGTGCCTTACAGCCTCCCATCTCAAGCTTTTTCCAAATTCACACAAAACCCATCAACCAAAACATCAAAAAATTCAATCTTAAACACTTGGATTTGCCAAAAAGATCCAAATCAAATCAAATATAATAGAAGAGTTAAAGTGTAGTAGGTGATGAAGGAGAACAAGACCATCACAATAGGACCAGCAATCCATCCAAGCTAAGCCATGGCCCAAGCCAAGGACAAAACCCCAGCCAAAACCCATCCCAGCCCTTGCCCCCAAGACCCAGACCCATCCCATCCCCCAAGCGTAGACCCATCCAATGCCCCAACCCTTGCGACGTGAGATCCACCCCCAAACCCAAACTATCCCTCCCCTCCTCTCCGGCGGTAGCAACAAACCCACCCCCACAGCCCGCAACCCACCTATGAGAGAGAGAGAGAGAGAGAGAGAGAGAGAGAATTTTCAGTTTTTATTTTATGGTTTTTAGTTTTTATTTTATGGCTATTATTTCAATTTTATATTATTTATTTTATTTTTCATTATTTATTTATTTTTAACATACAAAGTGACTATTTTATCCTCATATTTAACGGCAATTTGGATGAAATGTTATGAGTTTAGACGGCATGGGGGAAATTGGTGGAAAAAAAAAGTTCATATCCTTAATTTTCTTAAAAAAAAGAATAGGGGGTCAATCGAAAGCGAGGTACTAGTTCAGGGGGAAAATTGGTGAAAAAAAAAAGTTCATATCCTTAATTTTCTAAAAAAAAAAGAATAGGGGGTCAATCGAAAGCAAGGTACTAGTTCAGGGGGTAAATCACTAGTATACCCTAATTATATATCTATATATATAAAGCAAAAGGCAGAGAATGGTAAAACATTCAAAATACCAGAAAATGCCCTTGGTTAATGCAAACATTAAGAATTGAAATTATTAATTAAATGAGGATAATATGGTAAATTCACACTTTTCATATTAAAAAATTTGAAATTAAAAGAAAATTCAGATAATGGATCCTATTTTTATGGAACACAACTACCCATTCTATTTTTTAATTCTAAAATAAATTTTAATTTAATTTTAAAAAAAGCCTCTCGCAAGCGCGGAGAGGCTAGTCTTCAATAATATGTCAAGTGGCTTTCTTTCTACCTAAGATTTCATGACCCCTATAATTTCGCTAATTGGATTCCCTTACATGATTGGCTCAACACCACCAAAACTAGAAAGGCACTATCTAAGATTAGATAAGGGCGTGAATGGGCTGTTTTTTTTTTTTTTTTCCTTTCTTATTTTAATTATGTTGTTGAGAGCAATTCTCTCTAGATCGTCACTGCTTTGAGGACTACTACTACAGATCGATCTGTTATCGGCCCTATGATGGAAGACACCAAGAGTATGATGTCTCATATCACTAAAGAAGTTTTTACCCATATCCGTCGTACTGCAAACACGGTGGTTGATCGACTGGCACGCTTTGGCCGAAATATTGGCATAATTATCAATTGGTTTGAGGAACCACCAAATTTTATCATTGATCTTTTATTTGAGGATTGTAACTAGGAGTTTTTTTTCAGGCACTATACCGAAGGTAAGGCTCATGCTCCCGCTTACAATTGAGCAGATACGACTAACGGCTACTTCGTTAGCCCTATGTCCAAACCCATTGGAGTAGAGACACTCGTCTAATCCCTAATGATATAGCCCGATTTTTGTACTTGTTACTTTCCATAATCAATAAAAACTATCGCCTTTTTTATAAAATAAAATAAAATAAAAAGGTTAAAGTTGTTGGCTGTGGCCGCCGGCAGGCGCTTATTTGATGCCCACCACATAAAATTATTAGAGCGGACCCGCGTCGGCGCACACCAATTCCAAGTTATTAACAGCCAGTCGGCCACAAACCAACTTACCAAAGTCAAAATTCCCTCCTTTTCTTCATCCTCCTCCATTCAACAATTCTTGTTTTCTTTTCAAAATTTTCTTCCAATTCAATACCCAGATATATGATAAATTAAATAATTAAATATAGCTTGTTTAAAATAATAAAGGTTTATAAAAAAAAACAATATTATCAATTAAATCTACATGATTGATTAGGTTGTTTTCATGTCAATTGCATTACTTTACCACATATTATTAAATTTAAAAGGTTATAAAAAAAAATAAATAATTTTGCACTTACTTGAATCTTGTTTTTATGTTTTGTTTTTGTTTCTTCTTCCCACTTGATATTTGGTCTGCGAAGTCTTACCCTTTTCATTGGCTTTAGAGCAAATAATTGCTGTTAAAAGAAGATTATACGTACAACAAGTCATGAATCAACACAGGACCAGGAGCGTTTTGCTAATATTTAATCTGAAGTTGTAGAATAATAGTGATCTCCATCCAAATTCATGGCGCAAATCATTGTTTGCTTTATCTTTAATTACGGTCATTGAATTAAAATAATAGATTCAAAAGTTACATTAAGGCTAAATCTGTATACGTATTAGTGGACACAAAACGGCAGGGTATTGGTGGAAGTTTCGCACGAAAGAGCACAAAACTTTCTGTCGCCTGCCCTTCAAAAATAGTAGGGCCGGGCCAATTAATTTTAAAAAATACCATACGATGTTGTCAGCCATGATTATTGATAGAATATCCATCACCCACCATGATCCATGCTATGAAATTATTCATTAATTATTTTCAGACAAAAGATTCCAAAATGGGAGGGGAGGAGGGGTTCCATATTTTCCATATTTAAATAAAAGCTACCCATTGATGCATGCTATGAAATAATTAATTAATTATTTTAGGGCAAAAGATTCAAAAAGAGGAGAGGAGGTGTGTCATGGGTATTTTCTTTTTGTTTCATATCCGAACATTGAATTTCGGATGCAATTAACCACTTTACTTACAAATTCCTTGTTTCACACAATTTTATTAGAACAAAATGAGTTAGGGTTTACTGTTTTGTATTTTATATTATAAAAATTATCATGTAAATCTTTTTTGTATAGCTCACATTGGAGTTATCGAAGGAATTTCTTGTTTAACCAGAGAATTTTGTTTTAATATGAACCATAAAGAATGCGTTGTATTAAAATTGAGAGGGCGGCAAAGGGCAACCAACCATAAGGTGAGGTCCATGTCCATCACCAATCATCTTTGCGGAGATGATGAAGAAATTAACAAATAATTTGTTGTAAAGGGCCAAAAAAAAAAACTAATGTAGATTTTCATTTGGCCAGAAATAATTTGGATTTTTGGAAAGCAGGAAAAGACCAGAAGAATCTGAGAAAATAGACCAGGAGAAAAGTCTCTCTCCCCTCCTCTCCCTTTACGTCTCACCTTCAGGGGCTCTCTTGGGCTGGGCCCCACACCACGTGACGAAAGCGATGACTGCTTAGATTGAACCCTCGAATCATAAGCGGCCACGTAACCTGAAGACCAACTTAACATGCCCAGTTGCCTGTACGATATTACGTCCAGGTTCAATGAACCTGAAAGGCCGCCCCTTTAATAGCCTCGTTATATAAACATAACACAACCTGCTAATCTTCAATTCCACACACAAACAGGAGATTTGAAAAAATCACAAGAGCAAAACAGAGAAGAAATTTCATCTCAATTATTCGTTAATGGCTCTCGCTGTTGCTTCTTCTTCTTCTACTTCGATCTCTGGCCGGACCTTCTCTCTATCCACTCCCTCCTCTGACCTCAAAGGTAAAATCCTTTCGTTCGCTTTTCTTTTTCATTTTTTACTGGACTCAGAATTGAGAAATCTGGACAAGTTAGTTAGTTTTCTTTCAATTTGGGATGTAATTAACATGTTAGGGTTCCCATTTTTGAATTTGCAGCTCCACTAGTTGGTTCGTTTCGGGTGTTTGATCGAGCCCACGGCCAAATTCAAAGCCAAGCTGTAACATTTTCTCAAAGACGGAGCTCGGTGAAGCCCGTAAATGCGCAGCCTAAACGGAATGAGTCAATTGTGCCCCTTGCAGCAACCATCGTTGCTACTGGTAAAGATTTGAAATTTGTTATGTTTTTGGAGAATTTCAGGGAATTCATTTATTTTGGGTTTGACTGAAAATTTGGTGAATTTGCAGAGGCAGTTGAGAAAGTAGAGGCAGAGGACTTTACGCAATTGGCTAAAGGGCTTGAGAATGCTTCCCCTCTTGAAATTATGGACAAGGCCCTTGAGAAATTCGGCAACGACATTGCCATTGCTTTCAGGTGGTCCTCTCTCTCCAATTTTGTTTTCCCTTTACTACTTAATTTTGATGATTATTTGTAAAATTGATAATTGAAAAACATAACGAGCAACATTCCCTAAGAATCATTTTTCCCATATATGATCCTTGACCAAAAATAAAGGTAAAAAATTTCCCAAACTTACATTAATGCATGTGCAATGCGGGGTCATGATGTAGATGTACTCATCTCAATATGAATCTAGTAAGTGTCCATTTAAAGACTTGACTATCAAAATAACTATGGCAATAGTTATTTGTCATCTAAATTTAGGTGGGATTGCTGATAAGATCTAGCACTCTAGCTGATAGTAAATAACAATAGAGAATTTAAACTGAGTCACCTGTCGGCTATGTTGTAGTATTCACTTTCCTTGAGATGGCGGTTGTGATTTTCCAATACATTGTTACTGGAAATTAAGCTTTTATGATCTGTTGAGCTAATTGAGAGAAGTTTGCCATGGTATATGCCTTTTGATGATTGCTTAAAATGTGGCCTCGAATAGTAGCCATTTTATTTTCGTTAGTAACAAAAAGACTCTGTTTTTGCAGTGGAGCTGAGGATGTTGCTTTGATTGAGTATGCACATTTAACTGGTAGGCCCTATAGGGTTTTCAGCTTGGATACTGGGAGGCTGAACCCTGAAACATATCAATTCTTTGACACAGTTGAGAAGCACTATGGCATCCACATTGAATACATGTTTCCAGATGCTGTTGAAGTTCAGGCATTAGTAAGGAGCAAAGGGCTGTTCTCTTTCTACGAGGATGGGCACCAGGAGTGCTGCCGCGTGAGGAAGGTGAGACCTCTGAGGAGGGCCCTTAAGGGACTACGTGCCTGGATCACTGGCCAAAGGAAAGATCAATCTCCAGGTACTAGGTCTGAAATTCCGGTTGTCCAGGTCGACCCTGTTTTTGAGGGACTGGATGGTGGGATTGGCAGCCTGGTGAAGTGGAACCCAGTAGCAAATGTTGAAGGTCGTGACATATGGGACTTCCTTCGTGCCATGAATGTGCCCGTGAATTCACTGCACTCGAAGGGGTATATCTCAATTGGTTGTGAGCCATGCACAAGGTCAGTCCTACCAGGGCAACATGAAAGAGAAGGAAGGTGGTGGTGGGAGGATGCCAAGGCTAAGGAATGTGGTCTTCACAAAGGCAACATTAAACAGGAAGAGGGAAACCAATCTAATGGCAATGGTAATGGGGCTGCACATTCAAATGGCACTGCCACTGAAACTGATATATTTACTTCCCAGAATTTAGTTACCTTAAGCCGGACTGGAATAGAAAATTTGGCAAGGCTGGAGAACCGGCAAGAACCATGGATTGTAGTGCTCTATGCACCATGGTGCCAATTCTGCCAGGCAATGGAAGGATCATACATTGAGCTGGCTGACAAGTTGGCAGGGAGTGGTGTGAAAGTAGGAAAGTTCAGAGCAGATGGTGAGCAGAAGGAGTTTGCCCAGAATGAACTGCAGCTTGGAAGCTTCCCCACGATACTTTTCTTCCCCAAACACTCTTCTCGGCCAATCAAGTACCCATCAGAGAGGAGGGATGTTGATTCATTGATGGCTTTCATCAATGCCCTCCGGTAACCGGACTTTTGAAATGTTTAAAGAAAGTAGTCCCAGGTATTAGAGAATCGAAGTCCCCAAGCTCCCATTCATCTCCATACTTAAAAGGTGAAGTCAACATTCGTTGGCAAACCAGCTGGATAAATTGCACTGATTTTTCCTAGAATCTGTGTTTTTGGAAATGTATTTATGTTTCTCTAAGAATAATTCTGAATCGTTAGGTACAGTGTATTCTCACCTTAGTCAAAGTTCCTTATGGGACATCGTAGGGCTTTTGAATTTATTTTATTTTATTTTTTAAATTTTAATTTTCTGTTTTGTTGTTGGTTAGAGATTGTCCACAATGAGACATACGATTTTGGAAATGGGAAACGTATGTTTTATTGTTTGTTTGCTGTATCAGATTGGTGGATGTACTTGCCAGTTTTCTTTCTCCTAGTTGCTTTATCTGTTCTCGTGACTGAAAATTTTGAATTTCTCAGAACATTTTTCCCCATTCTGCAGCATGGTATTTCCCAGAAATTCAACATGTCAATCTTGTGCAGAAGATACAGCTAAGCACCTGAGCTGTGATACTCGCACATATCGCCAATTCCAAATTGCTTGAGATTCTTTATCCTCTCCACTCTTCTAAAAAACATGTCTCTCCTCCAGTCCTGTTTCTTCAATTATTTAATCCATAAAAACACCTTTTCATTAGCTGTCTGTCTGAAGACAGAGAAACTAGAAGATGCCAATAGTCCTGTCTGTTAGCAATAGTCAATTAATAAGGAGTAGTTTGGCACCTACAATAGTTGGGAGCCTACAATGTTTGGAGGCTTGACTAGGTTGGTAGCCTACAATGTTTGGTAGCCTACAATGTTTGGAGGCTTGACTAGGTTGGTAGCCTACAATGTTTGGTAGCCTACAATGTTTGGAGGCTTGACTAGGTTGGTAGCCTACAATGTTTGGTAGCCTACAATGTTTGGAGGCTTGACTAGGTTGGTAGCCTACAATGTTTGGTAGCCTACAATGTTTGGAGGCTTGACTAGGTTGGTAGCCTACAATGTTTGGTAGCCTACAATGTTTGGAGGCTTGACTAGGTTGGTAGCCTACAATGTTTGGTAGCCTACAATGTTTGGAGGCTTGACTAGGTTGGTAGCCTACAATGTTTGGTAGCCTACAATGTTTGGAGGCTTGACTAGGTTGGTAGCCTACAATGTTTGGTAGCCTACAATGTTTGGAGGCTTGACTAGGTTGGTAGCCTACAATGTTTGGTAGCCTACAATGTTTGGAGGCTTGACTAGGTTGGTAGCCTACAATGTTTGGTAGCCTACAATGTTTGTAGGCTTGACCTTGGGAATTCCAAGTTGCCTAACTTTGGGGGCTTGCCTAACATTGTGGGCTTGATTACTTGTATATATATATGTGTTGATTGTAAGTAATGAAACATAAGTGAAAAATCAGAAAATATTCTACAACTCTCATTCTCTCTACATTTTCCACTCTCTCCTCTCAATATTCTCTATGTTTTGACATGGTATCAGAGCAGCGATCTTGGAATTGCTGACTCTTGTTTTGAATCTTCGCTACCTCCATGGGGGAAGATGTTTTTTTCCCTGCTGGAAATAGCACCACCAACTCTTCTCAACCTACCTACCTAGAAGCATTGACGAAACCAATCCCGACCCAAACACCGACCCGACCGATTGGCCTCACCTGGACTAGGTGTTGCCGCCAACCCAACCAACCGACCCCAATGATCCAGACCTTGACACCGACTGAAACTACACGATATGAAAAAGATCAAAAGAGATATGAAGCTGCAAGTGGTGACTCTGGCCATGTATTCCATACTTCGGATGATAGAAATTCAACGGGCTGGATAATTGATTCTGGCGCAACCGATCATATGACATTTGATCCTGATGATTTTCTGAGTACTAGTCAACCCAGACGAACTAGTATTGCTAATGCCAATGGAGTTACTTCTCCTGTGACAGGGGCTGGCACTGTGGCTCTCTCATCCTCTCTTTCATTATCTAATACTTTACTTGTTCCATCTCTATCAAATAAGTTAATGTCAGTTAGTCAGATTACTGAACAATTGAATTGTTGTGTATTAATCTACCCAAGTTTTTGTTTACTTCAGGATATTCACACTAAGGAGATTATTGGTCGTGGTACTATGAGAGAGGGGCTATATTATATGGAGGATCTCAGTACAGGCATGGCTCACAATGTGACACATGATATCAAACAAAGGCAAGTCTGGTTGTGGCACCGTCGATTGGGGCATCCATCCTTTGGATATATGAAGCATATTCTACCAAACTTATTATCAGATATCAAGGACTCCGACTTCAAATGTGACATTTGCATTTTGGCTAAAAGTCACCGTGTGCCCTACCC